GCCGTCCACACCTCGGGCTCTTGCGCCTCCAACCCTCCAGAACCGGGTCAGCTGTGGTCCCCAGTCACAGGCCCAGTAAGAAACGGGTCCACGAGGTTCGCGGTCAGGGACTTGGCGAGTCTGGGATTCCTGCCCCGTGGCTGGGTGTAGAGTCCCCTCCTCCACCCTGGACCCCAGGCTCCCAGGGGGCACCCGGCCCAGCCCAGGACTTACTATTGTGGGCCAGGTTGTTGAAGACCAGGGAAGACAGCATCTTCGACATCCCAGGCGCGGACTAACCGGACAATGCGCAGGCTGACCTTGGCCGACAACGATTCTCACCTGGGGAAGGGAAACAGCGCATGCGTCAGGTGCCCCGGTGGTGCCAAAGCCCCCCTACCCCCGCTTCTGGGACGGGGGGCTGGCGCAACAACGGCTTGTCCTTCACCAGGGTCATGGAGAGACTCCCTGTGTGGATTTAGTGGCCTTGATCTTTCTGTTCTTTGACCAGATTAACTCTGTCTGCCCCAGGACCTTTGCACAGGAAAAAAAAAAAAAAGAAATCCATCCTCGCTGGGACTAGGGAGGGCTCCTCTCCCTTCAAAACCAGCTCAAACGCCACCCTTCAGAGACATCTTCCCTGAAGGACATCCTCTTAGATCCGAATTTTGTTTTCTTCTCTGCAATTTCCACTACAAGGTGATTGTTGGGGAAAAAAAAAAAAAGTTGACTGCTAGCTGGTGGCACCCACATGTCATCGCAGCAGCTTGGGAGGCTGAGGCAGGAGGATCGCCAGGTGGAGGCCAGCCTCAGCCACTTGGCGAGGCCCTGAGCCACTCAGGGAGACCCTGTCTCTAAATAAAATAGAAAAAGGGCTGGGGACGGGGGCTCAGGGGTCAAGCGCCCTTGGGTTCAATCCCCAGTGAGAAAGAGAGAGAGAGAGAGAGAGAGAGAGTTTATTAGCAGGTACAGCAATGCACACCTGTAATCCCAAGCAGTTTGGGAGGCTGAGGCAGGAGGATTGCAAGGTGAGGCCAGCCTGGGCAACTTGGCAAGACCCCCATCCCCAACTTTGCAGGGGGACCTCGCAGAGGGACCTTACAGGAGACCTTGCAGGGGGACCTCGCAGGGGGACCTTGCAGAGGAACCTCACCCCCACCGGCGCGCGCTGGCTCCGAAGCCCGAAGCCGCCGTTCTCCTTCGCCCCGTTGCAGCCGGCGCTCGGCGTTCCCCGTCGCCATGGCGACCATTCTCCCCGCCCACTGTGACGTCACAGAGGGCGGAGCGGGTGGGCGGGGGGAGCGCCGAGTCTGCAGCCTGAGCTCCCAGGTTCCCTGCGCTGAGGCTGAGGCTGAGGCCGGGCTGGGACCGGGCGAGGGTGACGCGAGCGTCCTCCTTGTCACCCCTCCCTTTTTTTTCTTTCTCCTGGAGCAAAAATAGACCTGGTCCCCTCCCGCCGGAGGCGGCTGCCCTTTCTAGAAGGGCCTTTGGCAAACGGCAACTGGTGGGCAGCGTCCGATGGAGCGCGCCTGCCCTCCCAGTGGCTCTGGAGGCTGAGGCAGGAGGATGGCAGGGTGGAGGCC